TGATAATTATGAGTATTTCTTAATTTATAACAATTTACAAATGATTTATTCTGATCAACTTAAATAGGTATTAGATTTTGTATTCGTAGTATTTAAGTAAGCAACTTAAACCATCAAATAAATCTCCTAAAAAGTTTGGTTTATTGTATATTTGACAGTATATTGATTATCCTTACATACATCGATACATTTATCTGGATAGTTTTCAAATTAGTAAATACATTCCATAGATTTATTTATCGGTAAAACTTATAATAAACATCACCCAAGTGGCAATAACAAGTAAGAGTGCTTATGACATTAGATACTGAAAATGTAATAAAAAAATGTTGTATTATTGTTAAAATATTTAAAATTTCTGATTACAAATCCTAGTATTTTATACGCCTGATATAATGAAATTAATTCACATAGTACTACCTACTAAAAAGTCGAACTACGTTGTTGGTATTCCACTTTTGTTGGAATAGTGTAAAAAGGCAATTATTTTCATGTGTTGCTTGGTGTGACATGTTAAACAAAAAGTAATGGGAAACAGAAGATACCAGCAATTATTTTGCGTAATATTTCTTGACTCTTCAATAGTAATTTCATTTTTTCTGTTACTTTAAAATTAAAAAATCGTTGATAATTTGTCGCAATCGATAGAATTGACAAGAAGTGCCGTATACCTAGACGCTTGTAAACTCTTACCTGTGTTTCAGTGTTGTCTGTTTGTAAATGCTTATGCCAAAATAGTATTTTAACTCGTATTAAGCACGAATTTTCTATTCTGGACCTTTTTGTAACTCAAAACTGACAAAAATCTAATTATTATCTGATCACTCAAACTAGTTGTCAACTGGGGAACGTTCATAAAGCAGGTTCAAGCGGATGACAATTATAATGGGGCGTGGTTCTCCATGTTTTATAATAATTTACAAGAGTTAGATAATTAGGCGGCAAATACAGTTTCAAATAATTTTGAAATTCTCCGCAGCGCCGTTAATGTTTATAAAGAAAATGGCAGAAAACCGCGCCCCACACAACATATTACGATTACGATTTACGAACACCCTCCAGCTACACGAGTAATCGTCAGTCCATCTCCTTTTGTGCATATACATGAGAAAGATAGCAACATTTTTGCCCTAGTAACAAGGTCGTTGACATTGATGGACAGTTGTGCGGGGTTTTTGTCAAAACGCTTTCAGTTTCATTTGGAAAAAGGGATTTTTAACATGGATTTTGTAGTGAAATAATAACCGCGTTGGAAATATCACTTAAGGTAGACATAGAATGTAGACTAAGGTTCACTATGGATAAATTTCACTGATTCTTTTATTTTTATCAATTTTTAGATCGAAGCGTCCCTGGAACCAGCTCAGCAGCCTCAAGTCTGGCACAGCGAGCAGCAACGCCGCCCATTCCGAACGGCGTTGGAAGCCGCGTGTCGAGCAAAACGCGCGTAACTTCCGGAAGCCGACGCCCCGACCGCCAAATCACGCAACTTTTGCCTAAACACTCGCCCCCTAGGGTCAGCCCCAACCACCCGTCCCCTGCCATTGCCAATCAGCGAAGCCCCGCCCGACAAAGGGACAATTTTAGCACCAATACAGAGTTAGTAAAGGGCGGTTTCAGGCGGTCGCAGGCCCCTTACCGAGTTCCGGTTTTCAGGACTTACAATCCAAGCGCCCTGGCCAGCTTGCCCATGATAGGAATGGACGATTTTGGGGATCCGGCGCCCCCGATCCAGCCGCCTGCTGGTCGCTTGGCGCCCGCTCCTGCTCCTGCGCCCGCTCCTAGTAACAATGGAAAGAACTTGTCGCCCATGTCCGATGGTAGCGATAACCGGAACCCCCCCGTTGGCACCATCAGCGACAGGTGAGTCTTTGACTGATTCAAGCCGATAACTGACTATAACTGGTTTGTGCGCAGTTCCAGCTCAAGTAGCGACAGCGATTCGGATAGTGACGCCCCTGATAATGTCCAAATCAAGAACGGGTATGGAACGGTGGCGCCGTCTAAAGCAAATGGACACGATCTGGCTACGCTGGACAACGACCTGCAGCTCTCAGAATCCGGATCAGACTCCGATTAACTGGACTTGGCACTAGTTGGATAGCTGATGGTTTACCCCACTACCGCAATGGTACGATGATGCTGATGATGATGGATGATGACGGCAATGTCAAAGCGACAATCCGAGTGATAAATGCGAAATTATACTTGAAAATATTTATATGCTGTGAATTATTCTACGGCGCTGTAATAAACGAAGGCAATAGAAAGGAAGGTTTTTTCTGAAGAACATTCGCAATACAAATTTTGTACTGCGTATTGCAAAACATTTGCCCTTGGACTAGTTGAAAGCAACGTCGCCGGAAACCAGATTGGAGTAACGCTCTCATTTCCGCGACCGTTCTTTAGACGTGCGCGTATCAAACCTTTATTCCTATTTTGTTTAATTGGCAGCTCATAGTCCGGGCGCAGTTTGCGGGTCGATGCTTCAAATTGCCACCGAATGGGCACCTTAGGCAAGGCAAAAGCCACTTTGTTCTAGCCCTTAAGATGTGAAAAAAATTAAAAAACCCTGGAGAATGTTTGAGAATAAGAGCAAGAGTTTAGCGTTTTTTTTGGTCGATTTTTGTAGATGCATTTTGGTGAAATTTGATTGCACCCGAAGTTTCACCTAATGCCAGGGCAGAAGATACCGACCCTCTCTATATTAGAGCACAAAAAATACCTCCTAGTTGCTCCTTAATGTTTCTTATTATAAAAAGGGGCGGCAACCCTGCCTGTTCCTGCTTGCAGGCAACCACCTCCACACCCTAGGAATAGCCCTCTTGGAATACAACGTTGCCAGTATCTATTTTTATGTCTGACCACGTATTGACTTGAATGTGTCGAAGTAGTATCAGTCTATGGTATCAGTGTTCTGTCGTAATAACGTACAAATAATAACTTTTATATCATTCTTTTTATATCACTAGTTATGTCTATTTCCAATGTTTGCAGTATTTGTCAAACAAGCTTTTCAACACAGGGAAATCTCTGTAAACATTATCGTACAAATCATGGTAGCCCAGTGAATAAACTAAAATTGTGTTTGATTTTCTTGATAATTGTTATTTATACAGGGCGTTCCGTAAATATGTTAAAATATTTTAGCAGCGTGTTCTCCTGTATTTTAGAGGAGGTCTTCCCGATAATTTTTTTAATTTGAGGTCTCATTTTTGAGATATTTGATCTCCAAAATGGCGAAAAATATTAGTTTTTGTTGTTTTTCTTTAAATCGGTTAAACATTGGGAACTTAAATTTTGGTAGTCTTTATAGGATAATTGAAGGCCATTCTATGGTAGTATTTTGTAGTTCAATTTACTTTTATACAGGGTAGAAATGTGGAACTCCTATTTTTATCTTGTTCAGAACTTTTTTGTGTGCACTTAAACTTTTATCAACTTAATTTTGTTAATTACTGCAAGTTATTTATCAATTTTTATCTCTTATTGTTTTTTCTTAAGGGCACTAGTTTGCCGCAAAAAAATTAAATCGTTTTGGCTTAATCAAAACTTTCCAGGCCGTTGGATTGCCAGAGGTTAAGAAGCTCCTATAAACTCGCCTCCTAGATCTCCCGATTTAAACGCGCTAGATTTTTACTTCTGGGACCATTTAAAAAGTACGGTATATTCACCAGAAGTGAATACAATCGAAGAACTTTAGGAAATAATTTTTGATATTTCTAACGAAATTAGAACTTCAGTGCAAACTTTACGGTCTGAAAATTTTAATTTCATTAAAAGACTGCTGCTAAGTTAACATTAGAATGGTTATTTAAATTTAATTTTGTTTGTTTATAACGTTGCGCATATTGTTACCATGTTTTTATTTAAGTAAAATTTATTCAAACTAAAATGTATATTATTTTAATTAATTTTTTTTAAATCGTTTCAACATTAGAAATCTTAAACTGATATTGGTATCTTAAATAACTCGGTAAATATATAATAATATCTTTTTCATTGTCTCTCTCTCTCTCTCTTTCTATAATAACGCCTCAAATCAGCTGAAATCTGGCAACGATGTATTCGGTATATTCGCATTGTACAGGTCGCTGTCTTTATCGTCTTTATCTATGGTCGCTGTCATCTGTGATTCTCTCCTAACCTACAAATCAGTCAAAACAAGGCATGCATGAGGCATTTACAGTAGAACCGAATTTAAGTGCACAACGTTTCCAGTTAAACTGTTAAAAGGTAAGTGAATCCACCCGCTCAACTAAATAGAGGAGTAGTGTGTTTTATGTGGGGATTTTCAGGAGAAAATGGGAAAATTCCGCAGCAAACTAAAGGGCCAAAGCAAAGGCAAAAGATGGCCAAAGGGGCAGAGCGCCAGCTCAAACCCGGTGACCAGAAAGTATCGCGATGAAGCCAAGAGCCGGTTTTTCCAGGTGGAAACTGGCCCCAGCAAGCTCACATCCGCGTCGCTGATGAAGCACGATGCTTTGCAACTGTACAAATCAGGAGATAAAGACGTGGAAATGCCGGACATGGAGTCTGAGAGCAGCTACAGCGGAGCCTCCGGCTCCTACCAATCCATGCAGTCGTTTGCCTCCGATTGGTCCGAGTGCAGCAACATGTCGTTCAACAAGTTCTTGAGAACTTTCCAGGCCAATTCCGCCCTGCATAAGGAGATGCTGGCCATTCTGGCCGCAATCACCGACGTGATTAAGATGAACGGGGGCACGGAGTCCTCCACAGAGTACTACTGCTCGCTTCTAACCACCCTGGACACCCTGTACAACGCCGAGGAGAAGAAGGAAGAGCAAGTGACTGCAGTGCTCGCCCTGCTCAACATGGGCATCAAAACAGTGCCCGAGGCAGTGCTGAAGAAGACCTTCAGCGACGTAACCATGAAGATGCTGCACGTGCTGCAGGATTATTCCTCGGCGGACAACAACGCCATCATCAAGGCCCTGCTGGGCATTCTGGCCACTGTGCTGAGGGCGCAGGAGTTGGCGCTGTGGAACTTCGAATCGACCAAGCAAGTTTTCGCCGCTCTGCTGAACCCATTCTGCATCCACAGCAAGCCCAAGTGGCGCAAAGCCGCCCAGCACGCAGTGGCCGCCATTGTGAAGTCGCCCTGCTTCGAAGCGTCGCCCAACCACAATCCTGCGGCCGATAAATGTGCGGATTTCTGCCAGGAGATTTTGGCGAACTGCACGGGCGGCGACGTGAACGCCATCAAGTCCAGGCAAACGACCATCTTGCATACTCTCGGCCTGCTGAAGGAGACCATCCAGACCTTTTCGACGAGCAACATCAAGAAATGCTGCGAAACCATCCTGCGGCTGATGACGCTCAATTACCCGATAGTGACTTCGTCTGGGCTGCAGGTTTTGCACTCGCTTTTCGCAGCCCAGAACTCTGTCGTGTCCAGCGACTTGAATGGGAAGCTGATCGCTGCCCTGTACGAGTACCAGCCCAGCAATACGGATATTCAGCCGACGCTGGCTTGGTTGCTGGTCATGCAGGAGGCTCATGTGCATCTGGCCGACGTTGATCTGCCCGTGTCCGTCTCCCTGCTGCCGGCTTTCTTCAATAATGTGGTGCAAATGTGGCTCTGCGGGAAAACTGAGGTCATCAGTGGGGCCACTCATTGTTTGGAGGTAAGTCGCGTCTCTTTGCCTGCTAAATTCACCAAATGGTGGGCGGTTTGAGGCTGAAGTCTCTTCTGTATGGGGTGGAGGTTTCAAGTTGGTACTTGCTCTAGATGGGAAGTTATGAATTTTTCAAGCAGTTGGTGCACACGCTCTTTTCAGGCCAACTATTACTAATTTTCTGGAATGTTTCGTTCGAGTGTCTTCTTTGAATTGCCAAAGTTTCAAGTCGCTGCTTGTTTTAGATTGGAAATAATGAATTTTTCATGCAGAAGATGCAATTGTGCGAAAGCGTT